ATGGGAGTTTCTGCAATTTGGAGGTTTATTGAAGGTGGAGAAGCTACTTATTATTCTGGAGTGGATCTCTACTGACGATCGATTGCTGCATTTGATGTTATGTCACACTGCTCATGTTGACCGACCTTTGTCAACCGGTTAAACTGTCTGATAAGAGGCCAATCTGTTTGGTGTATGGTGACAGCTTTTTGGTTCAAACTTTTCCTTTTATGCACCTGCTTCCATTCATTTGAGAATTTACATGGACTTTATTGTTTTTAAAGTGATATAGGATTATTATATAAATAGCGCTGCATTTATTCATTTAAATGTGCATGTATTGTATGTGACAAGATTTTTTTTTTAAAATAACAGAAATAAGAAAAGTAACTTCTCTCAATTATTTCCTCCTCTATGTTTCCCCTTTTATGCATTTGATTGTGTTGCATGTCCTGATTTAGGGATTATTAATTGGGATGCGAATGTCAACTGTGAGGGACTCGCTTCATGCTAAATGAGCATGTATGTGATAAGTTGCTTCTAGAAAATAAAGGGAATATCTTAGAAATTGTATTCAAAAATAGGAGGGGAGTCTTGTGTGATAAATAATATAACAATTTGAGAATCCTTCCTCTCCCTATTGTTTCTGCTCCATACTTCCCTTCCCATATATGCATTTGCATCCCAAATAGAAATTGAGGGATAGTGCTCCCCCTCCTCTTCCATGCAGCAGCTGCACAGGGGAGCTGGAGCTGCTGGATCACATGATTGGACCAAACAGGATTACAAAAAAAGGATTTAGGATTTACTTTTTAAGAACAATTATTGTAGTTGGTCTTATCTTCCCCTTTAACTCTGTAGCCAAAATTAGCATTGAATGCTAGGACTTGTAGAGCACTCCCTGGGTACTTTTCCTTGACAGGAGCTTCGATGGTCAGTTAGTGATGATATCAGGGGCCACCATTATGGTTGATTTTTGCTGTTAAAGTAGGCAGACAACATTTTTCAAAACAAAGCTGCAGTTGTCCTTTTAATGGTTCTAATCGCAATAGTGATGGATGAACAAGGTTGCAAACAAAGCCATTTTATAATTTCTTATTATTACAAATTGGTAGTGAGTGTCAGTCTAATCTTTATGTTTTAATTGAGGGTATAGCAACCTAGATGGGTTTTGTACTTGTTATGTATGCAGAACTCCCCTATCTACTTATAGTATACAAATCCCTGGGCCGCACTCTTTTTGTATCAACCACATCTCAAAGTGAATGTACAGTTGTGCTCAAAGTAATAGCAGTCAGACATCACTAACCTGATCAATCACTGTTTTTGGTAGAAATTATATTTCTACATGGCAAATAATTTACTAGCAGGTGCAGTAGAGTAATAGAAATCCAACAGACCCAACAGTCATGACATGCATGCTGCTGATTCTGTGTAATTGAATCACTAATTGAAAGGGGCATGTTCAAAATAATAGCAGTGTGGAGTTCTATTAGTGAGGTCATTCATTCTTTGAAAAACAGGTGGCAATTATTGCCCTTATTTAAGGAAGGAAGGCAGCAAATGTTGTACATGCTGGTTACAGTGCTTTTCTCTCTGAAATTCTGAGGCAAATGGGTCATTACAGACATTGTTAAGAAGAACAGCGTACCTTGATTTAAAAGGTGATTGGAGAGGGGAAAACATATAAAGAAGTGCAGAAAATGATAGGCTGCTCAGCTAAAATTATCACAAATGCTTTAAAATGGCAACCAAAACCTGAAAGATGTGGAAAGAAAGCAAAAAACTACCATTCGAATGGATAGAAGAATAGCCAAAATGGCAAGGACTCAGCCAACAATCAGCTCCAGGAAGATCATAGAAGGTCTAAAGTTACCTGTGAGTACTGTTACAATTAGAAGACGCCTATGTGAAGCCAAGCTATCTGCAAGAAGCCCCCTGCAAAGTCCCACTGTTGAAAAAAAGGCATGTGCCGAAGAGGTTACAATTTGCCAAAGAGCACATTGACTGGCCTAAAGAGAAATGGCGCAACATTTTGTGGACTGATGAAAGTAAGATTGTTCTTTTTGGGTCTAGTGGCCGGAGACAGTTTGTCAGACGACCCCCAAACACTGAATTAAAGCCACAGTACACTGTGAAGACAGTGAAGCATGGTTGCGCAAGTATCATGATATGGGGATGTTTCTCATACTACGGTGTTGGGCCTATTTATCGCATACCAGGGATCATGGATCAGTTTGAATACATCAGAATACTTGAAGAGGTCATGCTGCCTTATGCTGAAGAGGAAATGCCCTTGAAATGGGTGTTCCAACAAGACAACGACCCCAAACACACCAGTAAACGTGAAACATCTTGGTTCCAGACCAACAAGATTGACGTTATGGAGTGGCCAGCCCAATCCCCGGATCTTAATCCAATAGAAAACTTGTGGGGTGACATAAAAAATGCAGTTTCTGAGGCAAAACCTAGAAATAGAGAAGAACTGTGGAATGTAGTCCAATCATCCTGGGCTGGAATACCTGTTCACAGGTGCCAGACGTTGGTTGACTCCATGCAACACAGATGTACAGCAGTTCTCAGAAACAGTGCTTATACAACTAAATATTCATTAAGTGATTGAAAGGAAAGAAAAATCTTCAAACATTTTTCAGTTTATATAGTGAATGTTTGCGTTTGTGAAGAAGAACACAAACACTGCTATTTTTTTGAACAGTCTAATATTCACTTTTCTCCAATTTTTTTTTAGAGGAACAACACAAATTTGATCTAGTTTTCTTCATGTTTTGATTTGGAATAGAATGTGTAGTGTTCCCAATGCATTTGTGTGTATGGAAATAAAAGCTATTAGAAGGATTTTGAGCTTTATTCACTTTTTTCAACACACTGCTATTATTTTGAACACAACTGTACAAGCTTCAGTTACAGTTCCCATCCATCGGCCAGTCCCTTAGACCTGTTTCACTCAAATTGTGCTTACTTGTAGAGGGGCATTGCCAGTACATGGGGACTGTACCTGAAGCTTGTATTTTCAATTTGAGGTGTGGTTGATACACATAGAGTGTGGTCCAGGGCTTCCTATTACTGGGGATAGATGGCATGGGTCGTGCTCCTTCAGGGACCAGCATGTGGAGTGGAGAGAGAGCTGGTGGAATGGTATGCAGGAGGTTTTGAGTGGTGTCGTACCTGTCCTATATCTACTTATTTGGCTCATTGCTTTTCCATAAAATCTGCGTTAAAATAAAAGTCAAATTACAGGGAGATTCATTTTTGGTGAGAAACACTCCAAGGCTGTTCCTTGCCTACATGTATGCAGATACTGCAGCTTTTGCATTACAAAAAGACTGGCTGTCCAATTTACAAATCTGTTTGAGATAGGACAACAAACAGTATTTTTTTTCCAGAAAGAGAAAGATGTGAACTTGCAAAATTTTTTTTTAAATTGTTGCAATGGATACAGTTCACTTGGAAGGGATTTTTATTTTTTTATCAACAAAACTGGAGTTAAGCTTTAAGGCCCCTTTCACACGGGCGTTCCGTATGTCCGTTTTTCATCTGTCCATATACGAATGAAAAACAGACAACCATGTATTTCTATGAACTAGCGGATGTAAACGGATGATCTGTTTACATCCGTTAATGTCTGCATCTGTTAACATCTGTTTTTTGGAACAGAAGAAAACCCTATTTGTCTTCCGTAAAAAAACTGGAACTGATGTAAATGGACAAAAAAATTATGTAAACGGACATAAGGTCCGTTTTTGCATTGGTAAAGGAGGTAAAAAAACTGACGTAAACTGATATAAACTGATCCATTTTCTTCTTGGAAAAAAAAATGACTGAGCTGATGAAAAAAACAGAACGCCCGTGTGAAAGGGACCTAACTTTTTATGTAAGTTAAATCACTCTGAAGGGAACTAATCTACATTCTGGTGAACCAAGCTGCAAACCTAGGTGCAGCCCTTATGTACAAACCTTTAGGGCCAGTTCACACTACATGTGTTTCAGTTGCTTTTATTCTGCATCCAAAACACACAGAATGTAGGTTTTATGGTTGTCCATGTCATCGTTCACATCAGTGCTTGCAGTTCCGGTGCATTCAGGTTGCAGAAAAAAAAGTAGAACATGTTGCATTTTTTCTGCACAGAATTGTATTGGAGCGTGGTAAAATGCACTGGAACACACCAAAATGCACCAAAAACGTGCTGGAACGCCCCTATTTATATTGCAGAAAAAAGGGAAAAAATGAACTGAGTGTATACAAAACGCACCAGAATGTGCCAAAAATGCACATGCAAAAATTCATCCTGAACGCACATGGACTGCCTTTTGTATAGTGTGTACCGGCCCGTAGGGCTAGTTCATACTAGATGCAGTTCAGTGCGCTTTTTTCTGCATCAAAAATGTATGCACAGTGTTTTCCATGTATTCTAATGGCCCAAGTTCACACTAGTGTGGTCAGTTCCAGTGCAGAAAAAAAAAGTAGAACATGCTGCATTTTTTCTGCACAAAACTGTACTGGAACATAGCAAACTGCATCAAAACTGCACCTAGGGTTGCTACCTCATCCCTTTAAAACCAAACACATATTAATTACACAGGTTCTGAGGCCAATTTATTCCTGGTTCACATCTGTGTGGGTGGTGCCGCTGCGGATCAGCACAAAAATCTGTGCAGCCACACCCGCACAGAGGAATGAGGGTGGGTGCCATTAATTCTAATGGCACGCCGCCCGCACTGGAATTCGCAACCGTACTGGGAACCGATGTGTTCAGTTTTACCCCCCTTCATGACCAGGCCATTTTTTTGCATTACAGTGCTGCGTTACTTTAACTGACAATTGAGCGGTCATGCAACGCTGTACCCAAATGAAATTTGCATCCTTTTTTCCCACTAATTGAGCTTTCTTTCAGCGGTATATGAATGCCTGTGCAGTTTTTTATTTTTTGTGCTATAATAAAAAAAAGGACAATTTTGAGAACTCTGCTACATGTCTTTGCTAACAAAAATCCCAATGCTTGTAAATTAATTGGTTTACGTGAAAGTTATAGCGTTTACAAATAACGGTATATATACTGGATTTTTTTTTTCACTAGTAATTGCAGCGATCAACGACTTATAGCGGGGACTATGGCGGGCATTGTGACACTGGGGGGAACTGACTTGGTGTCACTGACATCCCCAGTGACACCAATACAGTGATCAGTGCTAAAAAAAAAAAGCACTGACACTGTACTAATGGACACTGGGCAGGAAGGGGTTAACATGAGGGGCGATCGAAGGGTTAACTGTATGCTGTTTTACTATGGGAGCTGTGTGTGTGTTTCACTGTAAGCTGGTATCTGGTGGTGTGACACGTACGGCGGAAGCTGAGGGACAAACGGACGAGAGAGACGGAGTGTTGTGGCGGGGAAGAGACAGGTGTTCTTGTGGAAAGCTCGCATACAAAGCTCCACCATGGATTTTCTTGATCGAAATATCAACTTTAAAGCTCTTCTCAAGTTCTCAAATATGAGAGAAATGTCCCAATTGACCAAGTTGATAAAAAAACCGGTGGCCATCTTACTATATCTGACGGTTAGTCATCACTGATCTCTGTCTGGATTCATTGGTTATACCCTATCTTGATGCATCACAATAAAGAATTTAATAAATACTACATTATGGGAGTCTCTCTATTACCCCTTGAGGGAGTGCTTTAGCCCACAGACCTGCTCCTTGGACGGATCATTGCAGTACAGAGAAGGTCTGCCTATCCAGAGGGATACTACTCACCAGGACCACAGGGGAACCCATAAAGGGAAAAGGACCACCTATACCGGTGCCACACTACCTTACATTAGAAGGACTACCCAACACCTGATGACATCTGGATTAATTTATACAAAGCGCATATTAATGCGCGTCCGGTGAGTGCGCATTACCTTCACCACTATCACACGGATACCGGGACCCCTTAGTCATTAGAGCACAAGAGTCACTTTATTCTGGAGTACACTATTATTTGAACTCTTTGCACCATACTTAGTCATATTTTATGCATTTACTCTTTTTAGCGCTGCACTCTGGTTATATATATTGTTATTTGAGGGTGATATTGGTTACTTTTTTGTGCATAGCAGCTTACATCCATATCAAGGCGCTTATACCCACAATTCTTTTATCACTGTAAGCACACTGCTTTGTATGGCTCTGGGGAGACAGTTCTCTCTCCACATCGGTAATACTCAGCAATCACTGGGTGCTGGCGAGTAATCACCTTCTGGGACCCGGTGATTGACAGCCACGCGCCCCCTTCCTGGAACTGCAAAATCACATATATATATACGTGATTGTACACACCCATACTGCCCTGTAGCAGTATTTTTGCTGTCGCTATTGGGTGGAGGAAGTGAAGGGATGAGGTGGCAACCCCAGCAGCAATGTAAACAATGCAGAAAGCTGTACATTGTTCCTGCAATATACTGTTTGAGGTCGCAATGCAAAAATTTTATAAAAGGACAATTTTTATTCTATTAATGAGGGTATGTTTATTACATTTTTGCAAAAGGTGGACTATGCGTTTAAGAATTTTTCAAGGTTCGTTTCAAAGCCTTTGTCAGTGTTTGCTGCTAAATAAATTGTAAAAGATTTCTGGGGTGCAATGAAAACATGCAGCCACCGGATGGCACCAGAGGCCCACAAATCAAGATGGTGGTTCTGTAGTACCATTACCATAATCCATTTCTTAGACTAAGCAAACAGAAGAAACCAGCACAGCACCATACACTCTAACATCCTGATCTGTATCAACTGACATTATTCAAGCTATACAAATCTTTTCCAAACCCAGTTTGATTGGATCATGCATCCTCAGAACATCAAACCAAACCTGACCTGATCTCACTAGATTGGATTGAGTCGCTTTTTTTCAACTTTTTAAAACAGGAAGCATAATATCAATTTGTATTGCAAGTGAATGGCATGGTATATTGCCACATAGTGCTGGGCCTGTTGATTTTTAATAGAGGAGTTAGGATAAAATGCATGGTTACCCTCTTAATAGAACCCAGCTGGGCATCCATAACCCTGCGCCTAGTGGAGGTGTGAGAAACCTGGATGTATGGAGTTTATATGAAACTTGTCCTTCCTGAGAACTGTCAGAGGGACTCATTGGAAAATATATTTAGACACTACAAAAAAAATCAAAGTCAAATTTGCATAGTCATTTATCCAACTTGCTGGCAGCAATAAAAGTTTCTCATGCACCAGCAATGGCAAAGGGCAGGAAACAGACAGAGCCTGGCAGGAAGGGGAATGGGTTTAATGTCAGTGACACCTTTGTGTTAAACTTAAACAACAGTCCATATTCCCTTTGCACATGTTCCTGGAATGAGCTCTCAAGAGTACCGGGTGCTGCAATGACCACCAGCTGGATACCGGAGCATGCACAACACAGTGTCAATATTCGCCAGTACACCCCGGATTTTCAAATGCTGGTGAATATTTACACTGTGTTGTGCAAAGTCCAATTTCAGATGCAGTGTCTTCTTGCAAGATTTAGAGTACTGAGTAGAGAGGATGGTGATGTCATCAGGAGTAGTCTAGGTCAGTGTTTCTCAACCCTTTTTCAGTCAAGGCACCCTTTAAAATTATGGACAGTCCTGAGGCACCCTTTAAAATTATGGACAGTCCCGAGGCACCCTTTAATATTATGGATAGTCCCGAGCCACCCTTTAAAATTATGGACAGTCCCGAGGCACCCTTTAAAATTATGGACAGTCCCGAGGCACCCTTTAAAATTATGGACAGTCCCGAGGCACCCTATAAAATTATGGACAGTCTCGAGGCACCCTTTAAAATTATGGACAGCCCCGAGGCAACCTTTAAAATTATGGATAGCCCCGAGACACCCTTTAAAATTATAGATAGTCTCGAGGCACCATTTAAAATTATGGACAGTCCCGAGACACCCTTTAAAATTATGGACAGTCCCGAGACACCCTTTAAAATTATGGACAGTCCCGAGACACCCTTTAAAATTATGGACAGTCCCGAGGCACCGCATTCTAAACTATGAAAAACTATTCTAATAGTATTATATAACGCAGCAACACCCACACGTGTAGGACACCCAACATTGGAGGTGATCTATTCTTCCAAAGCAAATACACTTTTGCACACTGGTGCTGAGTAGTATTCCAGTTTTTCTCTTCTCCCTCACTAAGTCTTTCTCCATCACTGAGCTAATGTGACCCCAGCACTGATGGAGAGGGGCAGGGGAGGGTCAAATTAGGATGCTGTGCTGGCAGCTGACATCCTCCTTATCTACTGATGATGTCATTGGTTGTCAGGACGCCCGGCAGCTAGAAGGTTGTAATGGTGCACAATGAAAACCTGTGGCTTTGTGTAACTAAAGGCAGGCTTGACCCACCCGCTGGCTTGTATACAGGTTTTGGGCAATTTTTAGACATTTTGCCAAGGCACCCCTGAAGAAAACTTAAGGCATCCCAGGGTGCCTGGGCACCCTGGTTGAGAAAGGCTGGTCTAGGTGATGAAACTCCAGGTTGGAAGACATACCACTTGCATATATGACCCTAGGTTTACACCTAAGCATTTTCTGCAGTGTTTTGCAGAAACTCAGTACAATCCATTTAGCATGATTTCCTATGGGACAGGTTCACATCTCGCGTTTTCACCCGGTAAAAAAATGCATCAAAAATGCAACGCAAAACACAATGCAGAACCTGCATAGGTGTGAACCTAGCCTTAGGGTGCCTATGCTTAGGCCATCTTCCATTTTGTTGTATAATTGATAAAAAAAAAGATCACCAACTTGTTGCATAGGTGGTAAAAAAATCAACTTCTTGCATACTATCAGAGATGACCTGTAGTAAAGTAATAACACCCTGCTATATGTTTGCATGCAATGGATGATATGATACTTTTCCAGGTGTTTAAAAAAGCCCATCAGACAGGGATCTTGCATTTGGGTTGCAGGATTATGCATGTCCCAAAGCTTCAGAACTTGGGTCAACCCAGTTAGGGAAATATCAAGTCACTGACTAAGCCCTATTATGAATGACTTATGTAAGTTATACAGATTCAGTAATTAATAACATTAATCAACTGATAATCCTGAGCCCAATGCAGGTCAGATCTTCACTCTAGAAAATTGCCAATGCTCAGCACTACTTGGCAGAATTTACAGACAGATATGGATAATCTGGTGCTTTCAGCCAATTATTAGCATTAGGAGCTGGATCAATAAGCAGACATCCATTTGTATTCAACCAGTGATACCAGAATATTGTAGCTGTTTAAAAGTGCCACGAACATAAAACTTACCTTTAAAGTAGCATTGTTTAATTAAAAAATATTTTTAGGATCCTTTAAAGCTGAAGGTTAACATATTTTTTTGGAAAACAACGCCAAATACATTGTTTATATGTAATGGTGTGTATCCCATTACATGCTGGGTGCTGGTTGTGTTCAAGTTTGCATATTATTATGTCTATTAGAAAGTTGTATTAAAGAATAAATGTGACGCAGACATGCATATCAATCACAGTTTGGGAGGGCCCCAGTTGCCTATGCTTCCACAGACATAGAAACTATGCTACGAGGTGAAGATCTATAGTAAACCCTTGTCTACTGTATATAAGTCCCTGTTTCCTCCCACTCATAGCTCACTCACTAAATGTATGACCAGCTGGGAGGCAGTGGTTCCTGATCTTGATACAGTGGATTGGGAGGATATTTGGGATGCCCCCTTCATCAGGCTCATTTCTGCTTGGGATCAGCTTATACATTATACATTTGTTCACCGTATTTATCTAACTCCTGCTAGGCTAGCTAAAATATTTGGTATCCTCCTGCTGGCATTGCTCAGTCTCTGGGGCCGATTTTATGCATGTTTTCTGGGACTGCCCTGCCATACAGCGATACTGGTCTGGAGTATTTCAGTGTGTCCAATCAGTCATTAACACACCCCTTATTCTGTACGACATTGTCTCCTGAGTTTGGTGGATGACTTGACCCACATTAACTCCATTCATACTTTTCTCACTCTCCTTTTCTATTATGCACATAAACTGGAGAAAGTACAGCGAAAGGCTACCAAACTGATACGAGGCATGGAGGAGATCAGCTATGAGGAAAGATTAGAGGAACTGAATTTATTCTCTCTTGAGAAGAGGAGATTAAGGGGGGATATGATCAACATGTATAAATACATCAGTGGTTCATATAGTGAGCTCGTTGTAGAGTTTTTCACCCTGAGGTCATCACAGAGGACAAGGGGGCACTCTTTACGTCAGGAGGAAAAGAAATTTAATCTCCAAACATAGAAAGGTTTCTTCACAGTAAGAGCTGTGAAAATGTGGACTAGACCTCCTCAGGCATTAGTTCTGGCCAGCTCAGTAGATTGCTTTAAAAAAGGCCTGGATTCTTTCTTAGATACACAGAATATAACTGGATACTAACATTTATAGGTAAAGTTGATCCAGGGAATATCCATTTTCCTCTTGGGGGATCAGGAAGGATTTTTTTTCCCAGCAGGAGAAAATTGGATCATGTTTTGCTGTTTTTTTTTGCCTTCCTTTGGATCAACTGTGGGTCAGGGGCGGACTGACAACTCATGGGGCCCCCAGGCAATAGGGGATCATGGGGCCCCTGTGTCCTTGCCCAAACTCAAAAAAGCCTATGAAAAAGATACCAGGGGCATCTCATGGGGCCCCCTACTGATCCCGGGCCCTTGGGTAGTGCCTGAGTTTCCAAATGGTCAGTCTGCCCCTGCTGTGGGTATAGGATTATAACTTTTTTTTTTGTGGTTGAACTGGATGAAATTTGTCTTTTTTCAGCCAGACTAACTATGTAACTCATTGTACTGTCCTGGAAGAAACCTGAGGCTGCAACTGTTGCAGCTTGGAAAGCTCTTATAAACAAGGCCCTCCCATTATATATGGCCACTTATGCTAATAGAGGGGTACCCCGTAATTTGATAAAGTCTGGGGCGGCTGGGTTGCTTCCCAGATTTCAGTGGCAGATTGAGGAGTATTGCACTTGAGTTCACATAATAATTATATTGGATTGTTCATGTACACTGCTTAGTGGTCTTGTTGGCCAGTGAATTCCTGTTCCTGGATTATGTGACAATGCCTTTATCTGTCGAAATGGTGTGGAGAGAGTTTCTTTGTAACCTGTAGGATGTATCTTTGGGTAGGGGGGTGTCTTATTTCTCCTGAATGTATACGTATACTGATGTTCCCTGTACAACACAGGCATTGTTCTCCTCTCTTTTGTATTTTATTATTTTTGTTGTGTAATTGGATGACTACCTGGCTTGTTGGCCATAGCCATAGCTTGTTTTTTGTTGTTAATCTGTATGTTTTCTGAAAAATTACTGATAAATAGAATTTTACAAAAAAAAAGAATAAGTGTGCTTTTTTTCTGTTTTGCCTACCCCTCTGCCTATCCATCAGCACTTTGTTAGAGCTGATTCACACATATGCGGTGCGGATTGAAGCTTTAGGTTTCACAGCTAACTGATACAGTACTTGATCACAGGTTCACATCAAGTTTACATCAGGTTCAGGACAGGATTAGCTCAGGATCTTATCATGTTCACACATATGAGGTTTAGGAACAGTTCCCATAGAAGTCAATAGCCTGTAAACCTCACCTGATCCTGAAGCCGCTGCTCAGAAATCGGACATGACTCTTTTTAAAACCACACTGAATCTGCATCCAATCCACATCCACAGTGAATGGGCACTGAATATCACTGTTGCCAGTCTGTTGTCACCCAATCTCTATTCAGAAATTGTTTGATACCCCCATATGCTTGCCACATCTACCACTTCATCGAATAACCAGTTCACATCTTAACAGGCAGCCTTTCCATTGATGAGGATGGAGTCCACCGCATGCATAAACTGATAGCTGTATGAAGAAGATTTTGAGGGAGAGGCAAAGAGGCGCTGGGAAAGGTGAACAGTGTAGATCTCATAGGATCAGTGTTACAATTAAGTATCATCTATTATGAAAGTGCTGGGGAAAGGGGCAGGAGCAGTACAATCAATGAGAGCCTAACCTTTATAGAGCAAACATGAAGTGTTCCAAGTGCAGTTACCTCAACAAAATAATAAAAGCTGCAGCTTCTTATGGAGCAGTTTTACAGCTCTGCATTGTGTCCGTTGTCTTTTTTTTTTATCTTTGTTTTTTTCTTAACAATTTAAAAAATAGGAGTGCTACACTGGGTCCAAGACATGACTTTTATATTTACATTTTTGCAGTTTATAAAATGTTTTTCCATGTCTTATCTGAGGCTTCAAGAATTTTTGGCACATACTCCTTATGGGATTCTTAAGAACACTCTTCACTTGGATTAATCAGGATGTTGACATTAAATAGTGTTTGGTTGATATGGTTGTAGTTTATGAACACAACCATTTATTTCAGGCATAGAGTGACTGATAGTACCTATAAGTCCCCGTAGAATATTTAGGACATGTATGATCAGAAAGAGCCAATCCTTTGTCAATGTCATAATTACAGATGAGCAACTGAGTTTGGACTCAGTTCATGGAGCGTTCATCAAACCCATCAACAGTTCTAAACTGTAAACTTAAATCTGAACCCCACTGAAATCTGGGGGGGGGGGGATCTTTAAAATTGTCAAGACCAATGAGCAAGGGATTGTCAAAGGGCATGGGGAGCCCAGCACTGGCATAAAGCATGTAGTGGGTCATCCTTATTTATGAAACTTTGAGGATGACATGGGCAAAACACCAGTCTTTTATCAAGATTGGGAGATGCCTTTAAGCTGTATGTGGTGTAGCAGAACAATACTGTTCTCACAGCCAGCATCAGCGGTACTGTATTTTGCAATTTTAATTATTGCTTGGCTTAAATACCCCAATCAGATTCATTACAGCGTGGAAAAAAATTTTTTTTTAGGTAGCTATGGATGCAACAACTGATTTTTTTTAACAAGGGTTAATATGCTTTAATTCACTGGTGTAAGTAATAGGCACAACAAACGTAAAAGCAATAGAAAGGTGACTCAAAAAGTTAAAA